GCTTTAATGATGGATTTACAAGGAAGTAAGAACGTACAGGCTGGCGGCAACATGCGGGTTACGTAGCCCGGCTGCGTCTTTGGAAGCTACATTATGTTTATCAAGCTCGGTCTCAAACCCATTAGGATTTCCGTCCCTCTGCTGCTGCAAGACCCTTGCCCTGTGGTACAAACCCTTACAGTGTTTCTACTATAAATTCACTCGTGGCAGGTTTGTTCCCGTTTTGGCATCGTGGGCCTGGAGCGCGTGCCTCGGCAGGGCGGCCGCAGGAGCCGTCCTGCGCCCCGGGCGCAGCGTCCGTGCCGCGTCCTGCGCCCGCGCTCGCCGGCTTTTAGACGTGCACCTAAACGAGCGAGGCACCCCAGGCCACCGAACGCGCAGGCCGGGTTCTGCCCTGAGCTACAGCTGTCTAAATATGACTGAAGTGCAGTCGGTTGAGTTATTTTGCGCTTATAGTCAATATGTGGAGCAGACCCTGGCTATGCCCCCTTGCAATGTGGAATAATTCACTTCCAGGAAAAAAAAAAAGAAAGAGGAAAACATGATGGCGGTGGGAGAATAAATGGGGGTTGCTCACGGCAGCGTTGAGAGTCCGTCTGCCCAGCTCATAACGAACTTTTTACTGTCCTGAAAGAACTTTCCCTTCCGAAAACAGGTTGCCTCAAATAGCAGTGGTCGCTCGCTGAGGGCACTGGGTTATAACAATAAATAAAAGTGAACAGTGCTTCTAGAAATGCGAGGAATGCGAAAATGTTTAAATGATTTAGTATGAGAAAACTTTATTTAAACATTTAATGGAAGAGCATGCTTTCATCTTTAAAACATTAGCGTTTGAACTTCCATCCAAGTTTTCCCAGACTTTCTTTGCACTTCATCATATACAACGCAAAGCTGTGCTTTGCAAAGTGAACGGACTTCCATTCCCCCGTGGCCAGTTGTCGTCGTCGTTGCCTCAAACGCACCTAAATTGCAATAAAGAAGTAGTTCCAGGGAAAACTGCTAAACACGTCGTTTTCTACATTAGCTAGGAAGAGCCACGTTTACTTGAAGACTTCTAGCTAGCAAACACAGCGCCCAAGCAAATCCCGTAAAGCTGCCCGGCTTTCCGTATGGAAACCACACTGAGGACAGATGTGTCCGTCAGCACAGCATCTTTTCTCCCCCCCCCCCCCAAAAAGCAAGTGCATATTCACGTGCGGGAAGTGCCTCTCTGCGGGCAGCCCCCGCCGGCACCGCTGCAGAGAATGGCTAGCAGTGTTTCGGGTTCATCAGCTCTCCCGGCGAGGGGCAGGGTGCGAGGAGTCGGCTGAACAAATCGGGCTTCGTTTCCAGCCTGCCACATGGCATTTGAAAGAAGATGGTTTAATTCTCCGAGTGCTATAGCTGCCAAACAAACAGAAGTGGCTGAGTGCAGATTTACGTAATTTACCTAAAAGCCAGCGCCGCCTTTCAAAGAGAAGAATCTCAGGACTTCTGTCCGTAGCGTGGTCTGTTACGCCGTTAGGTGTCGATGGGTTAGGAAAAAGTAGTGACCACTGGCCTTATACTTACTGTGGCCGCATCCTGCGCTTACACACTCCCCTCTGGGGTGAACCAAGGGGATCGGCTCAGTAATTCTTTCCGGCCCGATTCGGTAGGAGGAACAGCCCGAGTGCAAGCGTCGCAGGGGGATGGAGCACGTTCTCGAGCTCTCCGAGGGCTCTTTGCCACAACCAGCGCTAAGATCATGGCCCTGCGGCCTCTTGGGTCCAGAATTAGCGTTGGAAGTGTCAGTGTTTGTGTTCTTAAAAATGTCTAAGCGTGTGCCTCACCGATAGCCTGCCGGGCTCTGATGTGGAGATTTATGGTTTCCAAGCAGATTGTAAAAATTTTATAAAGTACCTTAAATATTTACACAATAAGCATTTAAGGAAACGCTGTTATGTCTCTAAGGGAGCTGTTGGTCTTTTAGGCCCATCAGACCACTGATACCTTTTTTTCTTAATTCTCTGACCTCCAGGAATTTCTTTTTTTCACCTGATTGTTTTTAAGCAGACAAACAAATGGAACAGGAACCTATAAATAATGTTAATGACCTGGCTTGTATCCTCAAAAGCCAGGAAATGTAAAATCAGGACTGCGAGTTGGCCCTTAGGTCACCTAAGAGTGGGAAGAGAGGAGCCTGTGGGCAAGGGCAAGATGAGTCCTTGGGTACCTGTCATGTGTGGAGCACAGTGTGACGTGTGTGGAGGACAGTGCAAGTCCCAGGTACCTATTACGGGTGTCTGTCCCTGAACGGGGAGGTGTCACGGGTGCCGCGGCCCCGCCGTGGTAGGAGGCATCTGCCCTTAAAGCTGTGGGAGGTGCTTGGGGAACCGCATGTGCAAGACAGTGCCTCCATGCACTGCGTGATTTATGACTTACAAGCCTTGCAGCGCTGATACTCTGCATATTGCAAGGTTTGGGGGTTAAAACGGTGCTAACGTTATAAATAGCCACTTTGCCTCCTGCAAGCTTTGTGATCTGTGGGGTGTCCGAAACGCAGGCAGTGGCGTTTGGACAGTCTTGGCCGGCGGAGCTGCTGGTGCTTTCACACAGGCTTTCTGGTTGCTCCGATTACCCGGCGATATTTCCGACACTGGTGCGATGTGAGTGATGTGGGTAACGCGCACGGCTTGCCGATGGATGCGAGTTGCTATGGGTTAAACTGCTGGTGGCAGGCAGGAGTTTGCCCGCTTTGGCTTACCCACGCCATGGGACATGTGTAGACCCCGAAACCCCATGAGGCCAAGCTGCCTCTGGTGTCGCTGTCAGGAGAATGAGCTCTTGGTCTTCAATGTGTTCACTGCTTTCCAGTTCGTGTCCCCTATAGTCCTCTGAATTTCACCTCCTGCAGGTCGCTGACGGATCTTAAATGGGCGCTTTCCCCATGCAAAGGTTGCAGAGCCCCTGGAGCCCCCAGGACGTGGGGACGCCTGTGCGTCCGCCTTACCACGGCTTGCGGTCTGCGTGGAGAAGCTCTGGAGCTTCAGGCTGGAAGCAAAGTGCTGCTGTGCTTTTGCGTAAGTGGCCTGTGGTGGTCTCCCTTGTCCTGTATCGTACCCCAGCCCCAGTTAGAGCCCTGTTCATCTGGGAATAACTGCATTTAGCTACCCCGCTGCAGCTGAGCGTCGAGCGCGGCCGTCTCTCCCGCAAGGTCCGTGCTGTTTCTTTTTAGCGTGCCTGTGAGGTGCTCCTCGGGTCTTTATCTCCAGCTTTGTGCGGCACGAGGAGATGGCCATGGCTGGGAATTGAGGTGCTCCTCGGGTCCTTATCTCCAGCTTTGTGCGGCACGAGGAGATGGCCGTGGCTGGGAATTGAGGTGCTCCTCGGGTCTTTATCTCCAGCTTTGTGCGGCACGAGGAGATGGCCGTGGCTGGGAATTGAGGTGCTCCTCGGGTCCTTATCTCCAGCTTTGTGCGGCACGAGGAGATGGCCGTGGCTGGGAATTGAGGTGCTCCTCGGGTCTTTATCTCCAGCTTTGGGCGGCACGAGGAGATGGCCGTGGCTGGGAATTGAGGTGCTCCTCGGGTCTTTATCTCCAGCTTTGTGCGGCACGAGGAGATGGCCGTGGCTGGGAATTGGCCCGTTGAACAAGTGTAATGGGCTCGAGAGTTGCGTTGTTAGGAAAAACCGTTTCACCTGGTTCAAAGCCGGCCTATTTCTCCCCTGCTCTCTCCAACATGCGCTTTCTGAACCGTTCACGTAGATTTTATCGCGCGGATTTCATTAACCTCCTGCTGCCACCCCGGGCGAAACCGCGTCCCCGTTTGGTCCAGCTGAATTAAGGGCTTGAGGCACGCTCCGGTGGCCGCAGGTCACAACGTGGTAGAGCTGCGAG